ACAGGGGAAGCAATTAAATGGAATGTGAAAAGTGGCTTCGTGGAGTGTGAAAGAGGAGCAGAGGGGCTGTAGCTCAGCAGCAGAGAATTTGCCTTGCATTCAGAAAATCCCAAATTCAATTCCCTGGCATCTCAAGCCAAGGCTAGGAGAGCTTCTGCATGAAAACCTGGATGAAAATCCCCACCCACTGCAGTAAAGTGGGGCCACACTGCGCTGCCAGCCTGGGCATGCACTGGGGAGCCTGGCTGGCCAACTGCTTTGAAGGGTGCGTTCACAGTGCCCAGCAAGCCCAGCACTGCTTTGTGTGATTTGCAAAAGCAGTGAGGGGCTGGCAGGCCACATGCCTGTTGCGTCCTTCTCAAGCCATCCTCCAGTGGCCACATCCAGTGCTAGATTACCAAATAGGCAGAGTAGATACCATCCTATGGGCCCCACATCTTTTAGGGGCCCTGTAACAACAGGTCAAAATAACGTTGATTTGATCTTGAAAGAAAATTACAAAAATGTATTAGAGATAATTTTTGAGGGTGTGTGTGCGAGATTTCAATTGCCCAGGAGCCGCCACAGGGTTTAATCTCACACTGGCCACGTTATCCCTGAATCCCTCATATCTCTCATTGAGATCCCTGAAGATGGTCCTGGCACTAAGAAATCATAGAACCGTAGAGCTGGAAGGGGCCCAATTATGGCTCTGATAGAACTTACAAAACTATGATTGTACTGCCTGGAAAGGACATGTGGAGCTGGGGGACCTGATCCTGTACCTAGCACTAAGCCTCAATAGATAGCGAGTAGCCACACTTGTCTGGTCCTCCATTGCGGTTTGGTTTTGAGCTTATTCTTCCTCAGAGCCCATGGACCACAGAGCATATAATGCACCACTGCTACAGAGCAGCCCCACTGCCCTGCTTTACAGAGGTCTACCCAGTATATGAAGGGCTCTCCAGTCAATATAAAGGACACTAAGAAGGGAGAGAGCAATGCAGGGTGTTCATCATTGAATTTGCTCATCATCAGTTAGCACCTGGGCAACTGACTTGAGTGAGCAAGCCAGTCAGCTGATTGCAGTTTTTCATCTAGTCCAACCCCACTGCAATGCAGGAACCATGGGCTTTTGTGGTGGCTTTTTGTTTTGTTGGTTTGGTGATATGTTATGTTAACCTAAAAGTACATTGGGAAATGTCCCTGAGTGGTAAGAACGGAAGCAGTGGGTTCAGGTCTCCTTCCTGGTATGCCCCTTTTATACTTCTCAACCCACCCCAGGCTTGAACATGGCTGGGGATGATGAGATCTCTTCTTTCTTACCACCCCCACTTTATGTTGCATATTTTTTGTTATCTAGTGTGGAAAACAAATTATGAGATCAATACCAGCACCCCAAATGCACGCACAAACCAACACACCACCACTGGGTTGATCTTGGGCTAATTTTGGCCCTTTGAAACTGGAAATTAAAAACCACAAAATTCTTCTAGAACATAATCCAAAGGATCTACAAATTGTGAAGCTGGTGGAAAAGAAATTCAATTCAGTTCACATGCAAAGGCAAACCTACCTCATTCATACTTTCTGGAACAATACATGAACCACAATGCAGCCAGCCTTTGAAATTTGCACTGCTTTGAATTTTGCAATGCAGTTTCCCAGCCCAGCAATGTGTACAAAAATGCGTATGCTAGATTAAAGTGTGCTGTGCGTACACATTCATACAACAACATATCAACATAAAAACAACATAAAAATGTCTAATAAGTTTGGGGAAATTGCCTATTAAGATAAATTTGCACTAAAATGCTGATGAATTTCCATGAGGATTTTTTTTTTAATGGCAAACTGATGTGGAAATGTAGAAAACAGAACTTAAGTCTGCAAGGAAAGATGGAGTCTGAGAGAAACTGAAATTGTCAGCGAGAAGGCAACTGGGGTATGTCGAACCTTGCAGTTTTTTTCATTTTTGTAGCTTCAGTAACCTTCCCATGCCTGATACACACTATGGGTTATATTCAGTGTCAGTTCTACTCAGAGGAGACCCACAGAAAGTAATGTACATTACTAACTTAGGGCCATTTATTTAAAATAGTCTTCTCTGAGTCAAAATTAATTCAACTCTATCGAAATTAATGGGTTGTATACTTCCAAGTTCAACTCAGAGTATAACAATTTAAATGAGTGCACCTAAGTTAGCAACGTCCATCAGTGTCAGTGATCTACTCTGAGTAGGACAAAATTGGATACAGCTCATCAGTTTCAGTGGGCTGTATCCAACTACTCAGAGTAGACCCATTAAAATAATGGAACTAAGTTAGCCATGTCCATCATTTGCAGTGGGTGTACTCCGAGTCGGATGCAGTGGATTGGATAACATTTTGGAATATATGCAGGTATGCAATTTTTAGAAAAGTAATAAAATAGCAATCCAAAGAGTCTACTCCAGGGGTCAGCAAACTTTTTCAGCAGGGGGCCAGTCCACTATCCCTCAGACCTTGTGGGGGGCTGGACTATATTTTGAAGGGGGGGTGAATGATACAAGAGCACCACCAGCCCCGGTGGCTGCTTACCTGTGTCTTGCGAGCAGCAGAGGCTGGCAGCGGCAGCAGAGGGATGATGAGCGGTGCGCTAAAGGGCTCTGGAGAGGGGCTGCTTAAAATGGTCGCCGCTTGAGCGCTGCTGCTGCCCAGCCCCCTTCCTCCTCTAGGCAGGGCAGGGAGAAGCCCAGAGGAGGGAGGGAGCAGGCGCTGCCACCACCTCTGCCATGTGAGGGAGAGGGAAAGAATGTGCACTCTGGCAATCTACGCAGCAATTCCCAGACCATCCATGGGCCTGATCCAGAAGGCAATTGGGCCTGATCCGGCCTACAGATGTTAGTTTGCCTACCCATGATCTGCTACTTTGAATAGGACCAGTATCGGATACAAGCCTCAGCTTTAATTCAGATACCAGGACAAAGCCGCTCATTTGTCTCCCCTCCCCTCCTTGCACCATACTGATGATCAGCAGTCACAGTGTTCAGCTCCAATCTGGTCTTGAGATGTGATTTAGCTTTGTTGTTTGTTAAAGTGTATGCACTTGACAGAGGAATACTACCTAGCTGGCACCTCCCTTGCAAAGGCAAGAAGGGAAGGGACAAGAAAGAGCCCCTAGCAAAAATAACACTTCACAGAGCTGGTCTGGGAATGGGGGGGAGGGAGGAATTACTCTTCTGATAACCTTTGCTCAGCTGATGGTCTCCGAGTCCACAATTGTTGATAGAGAGGGATTGAGTGATTATGCTGAGAACACAAAGGGGCAGTGGGCTTCAGTTAAGGGAAGGATAGGGTGCAGAGGTGAGGGCTTAGTTGGGGGTGGGAGAGGGGTGGAAGAAGGAGAGCATGGGCCAGTTTAAGAAGAACCCTGCAGGGTTAATCCAAAGACCCATCTAATCCAGTATCCTGTTCTCACAGTGGCCAACTCAGACTCCTATGAGAAGACCTGAATGCAGTCACCTTTTATTTGCTTTTGTTCCCCATTCAACTGTTATTCAGAAGGACATTCACTCTGATTCTGGAGGTTAGATACAGTCATAATGGCTTGTAGCTGCCAAGAGCCGTAGCCATTAATTTGTAAATGTGGCACTAGTCTACCTTACGCTGCCTTTTGAAGCAGAGAATCTGTCTGTCTGGTGGGGAGAATGAAGGGTAAGCTGTGCGCTGTCATTTTGTATCTATGCACATGGGTTTGCATAGGATATCCATAGGGTTGCCATATTTCAAAAAGTGAAAATCCAGACATTTAAGCAATTTCCACCCGGACACTCCATTTGACTGCCATATTCCGGCTATGTCCAGGAAATTCTGGACATATGACAACCCTAATATCCATGTCTTATGGCTTTCTAGCAGATGTGTGCATTGATATTTTGATTTTCTTGCCAGGCATTATCTGGAGCCAACAACTCCTTCCACTTCCCTCTCATTCATTTGTACACTAGGAACTTAGGAAACCCTCTTATACTGAGTCACACCATTGGTTCAACTAGCTTCGTATTGCCTGTACTGACTGGCAGAGACTTTCCAGGATTTCAAGCAAGGAGCACCTCCCAGTCTTACCTGGGGATGCTAGGGATTGAAACTGGGACCTTTGACATGCTCTAACCCCTGAACCACAGTCCCTTCTCTCTTGCGTTTTGTTGCTCTGTAGCTAGTATTCATTGGCATGCTGCTTCTGATACTAGAGGTAATATATGACTATTATAACTGGAAGGCCACTAAGAGTTTTATCCTCCGTGAGTTTGCCTAATATGGTTTTGAGATTTGGGTGGATTGGTGCAGAAATCCCATCTACCATGAGTTGGTGTGCCCTCTGTAAGACATATACACCAATTCCTTCCAAAATAGTACTGCACCAGCTAGCAGGGTTTATTGTGAAAAGAAACCCCAGATTTTCTTTCTGTTGCTATCTGATTACTTCTGATGCAATGTGGCTTCATCTGTTAAAGGAACTTAGATAAGCATACTTCTATGGTACAGCTTTTTTTTTTTTAAGGTTTAGCAACCATGGACTGTTCCTTCTCAACACCCCCCCCCCCCGTGAACTCAGGGGATTTTAATTTTGTGTGGGTGCTAAGAATTAACAAATGCATGTGTTTTGTGAGGATTTGGTCCAAACTAGTGACGTCAAGCTTACAGTTCAAGTGAAGTTAATGAGATTTCTTACTGTAATTTCACCACTAAGCAATTGCAAAGGATTTCTGGCCCCTAGACAAAGAATTGGGTGTCCCATTTACGTCATATGCCTCTAGAAGTTCTTGACCTTTTGCTGCAATATTGAAATGATTTCTCCCATTTATGGTCACGTGTTCACAAAAGGGTTCAGTGCTCCTTGTCTTCATGCCAACTGGTTTATTGTGAAAATTGCTGTCTTTTGTAGATCGATGTAAATTTTGTAAATTTTGTGCTGTCATCACTCATATTTACTTCTGTTTATCTCTCTCCTCTCTCTCTCTCTTTGTGGGGGGCACTTAGGACTATATGACAAATGTTCTTACACCACCCGTGACCGAGGATGGGTCCTAGGGATTAACACCATCAGTGACCAGGGGAATAGAGAACCCCGCTTTTTCTTTTCCTTGAAGACGGACCGTGCCCGGAAGGTTACCACCATCACAGATCATCGTAACTACCTCGCAAACCAGTGGGTTCACCTAGCTGTCACTTACGATGGACGCCTGATGAAACTCTATGTGAACGGTGCTCAAGTGGCCACCAGTGGGGAGCAGGTAGGGAACATCTTTAGCCCTTTGACCTTGAAATGCAAAGTTCTCATGCTTGGTGGGAATGCCCTGAATCAGAATTACCGAGGCTACGTAGAACATTTCAGCCTTTGGAGAACAGCCCGGTGTCAGAAGGAGATTCTGTCTGACATGGCCATGGTGTCTCATGAAGCAGATGCTCCTCTACCTCAGCTCGTTTTTCAGGAGACTTTACTGAATGTGAAAAGCATCTGGTCTCCGATGAAAGACAGCCCTAGTCTTCCTCAGATCGAATTCACTTCCCACCCTGGCTACCTGCTGGATACAAGCCTTGATCCTCCTCTATGTGGGCAAACTGTGTGCGACAACAAAGAGGTCATTGCCAGCTACAACAAGCTCCCAAACTTCCGTCACAAAAAGGTAGTCCGCTACCGAGTGGTGAATATCTATGATGACCACCATCGCAACCCAACTGTTAGCCGTGAACAGATAGAATTTCAACACCAGCAACTGAACGATGCCTTCAGCCCTTACAACATCACATGGGAACTGGAGGTGCTGGAAGTAAAGAACTCTTCCCTCCGGCATCGCCTGATCCTGGCCAACTGTGAAATTAGCAAGATTGGAGATGACAGTTGTGACCCTGAGTGCAACCATACCTTAACCGGGTACGATGGAGGGGACTGCCGGCACATGCGACACTCGTCATTCAACAAGAAGAAGCAGAATGGTGTGTGCGACATGGATTGTAACTTTGAGAGGTACAGCTTTGATGGTGGGGATTGCTGTAACCCAGAGATAACTGATGTCACCAAGACATGCTTTGATCCAGACTCTCCTCACAGGTAGGCACACTGCTGAGCATATAAGGTCCTTCTAATCATACCAGGCCTGCCTATGTTCCCCTCATTCATATTCCCCTCACCCCAACACCTCTTCCCATGCCCACAACAATTCATATTGATTTAATGATTCTCTTTTAAACTGACTCATAATGAATCCAGTTTTAGAATGCATGAGGAAATGCATTTTGTGTTCCTAGCTCTCATTATCAGTCCGTTTAGTTGTTTTGGTTTGGGTTGATGAGCAGCTCAGAGGGCCGTTTTGCACACACTTGAAAACTTCCTTAAAGTTTCTTGGGAATTGGTGTACAAACCTGACATCTTCATGTGCCCATGATGGGGCCATTAGAGTGGAGGAGATATATCTTGGCACAAATTAGCAGGGGCTTGGAGGTGGGGGCACAGATCTAAGGAAGTTTGGTTGAGGCAAGCCTGGGTTTATAATGAGTTTAAAAACTAAGGGTGAATTGTAGGTTTTGCTTGAGGACATGTATATAAATTTGTTTCCCTGTACAATCATATCTCGGGTTAAAGTCGCTTCAGGTTGAGCGTTTTCAGGTTACGCTCCGCGGCGACCCAGAATTAATGGAACACGTTACTTCTGGGTTTCATCGCTCACACATGTGCAGATGCTCAAAATTATATCATGCGCAGAAGCAGCAAATTGTGACCCGCACATGCGCAGACGCTGGTTTGTTCTACTCAGGATGCAAATTAGGCTCTGAAACGGATCCCATTTGCATCCAGAGGTACCACTGTATTTGTGTGGGATTTTGTATGAATTGTGTAAGTAGGATCAGCTGCTCAAGAAGCAGTTCTTTTTGACGGGGGGCCATGGTGGACACTGCCAGAGGTGGTTCTGGGATGGGAGCAGTCAAGCGGCAGCCACTCCCAGCTCAACCAGTGGTGTGGTCCTCTCTGTCTTGCCTCTCTCAGCCCAGTGGAAGTGCTGCTGATATAGGCAGGTTGGGGAAGGGAGGAAGCGTTCAGTAATGAGTCCCAGCTGAGGCTGTGGGGTGGGCCTCACCGTCTCACCTCTTTCTGATACAGCTGGCTGGAAAGCCACTTATTTGCAGGGGAGGCCTCTAATTGAGAGTGGTGCTTAATCAAGAAAACATGATGGTTTTTCTGCCTAGATTTAGAACCAGCAGGATTTTGAAAAATATCTCCATCCTTGAGTTAAGAGTCACTTGGCGCTGTTTTATTTCACCTGTTCTCTCATGCACACCCTTGTGCCTTGGCTAGAGGTATTCAAAGAATATTATCTTCTTTGTGGACAGAACAGAATCGCTCCCCAGGGCGAGGGGATGTGTAACTTTTTATGAGTGTTTTATGCCAGCCATAAACTCAAACAGAATGTTAAAACATAAGCCATACAAAAGCTTTGACGAGCTTTCTCTTGCTCAGGAACAATCTCTCGGAAGAGTCATGTGAAGAGGGAGATTTGTATGAGGAGATGAATATGGAAAGGCTGTTTTTTTTCTTTGCAAGGCTTTGTCTTTAGCAATAACTGTCAGTTGGAAGTACACATGTATTTATTAGCCGATGTGAGCTTTAGCACAGCCTTGTAAATAAAGTCTTCAGAGAAGTTACTAGCCTGCAAAATGTTTTACTGGCCTGTGGAGGGCTGGAAGAGGATGGACAACGGGGGCTCTCCATTCATCTTCCAACTGTCTGCTGCCTTTCTTTTGCTGAGGACAGAAAAGGGGGAGAATTTGTTCCCTGGTTGGCTTTTGTGCTGGACCCAAAGCAGTGATGGAGCAACCCATCTTTCCTCTGCCATCTCACTTTCCATGTACACCATGCAATTAACAAAAAAAGAAGAAGAAGAAGAGCCTGCTGGATTAGAGCAAATAGCCCATCAAGTCCAGCATCCTGCAAACAGGATCCAAGCAAAAGAGAACTCTCCCCTCCTGTGGTTTCCAGTAACTGGTATCCAGATATTGTTGGAAGCCCAGGGTCCTATGAGACCCAGCCAGCATGGCCAATTGTCACTGATGATGGGAGTTGGAGTCCATTAACCTCTGGGGGGCTGCAGTTCCTTTTTTTCCTTCAACTTCAGGATGGAGTGGGGGAAAGAAACTGAAATTGACAGAAATGCCCATTCCTAATTGTAGTAGACCTGCAAAATGAAAATAAAAAAAGCCAGAGTCTTGCAGGGCTTGCATGTACCCTACAGTTGGCAAGATAAAATTTGGGCAAATTGTATAGTGAATCAAACAGTAACATGCAAGTTTAATGGGTTCTGATTTCCTCAGTGTGAACTTTTACCTCCTCTTTTATAGGTAAGTGGCATTTCCATCCCCCTTTTCAAGTTGGCAATTGTTTATGTTGTATGAGGAAGCTCCAACCTGGGGACTGAATTGCAGCCCCCTAGGCTTCTCTACCTGGTCTTTGGGAACTCTCCCCAGACCACCCACCTCACTGCCCCTGCTTTCCACCCTTCTTGAGTGTTTTTGCCTGGCTGGAATGTGTCCTCAAACTCTAATAATACTTCTTGCTTGTCTGTATGGTGGGTAGAGAGGGGTTTATACAGAAATTAGGCAACTGTACAGTTTACATTCATTGTTCTGCCCACCCCTGGTATGTGACCCTTGCAAGGTCGCCCAGATGGAATGTGCCTCTCATGCTAAAGATAGGTTCCTCTGTTGTTTTGTTTTGATTCTGAGCCAGGAAGGTGCTTCACATCATGATGTCAGTCTTCAAGTCCGCCTTTCCCCATTTGCAGCTGTCAGCTTCAGCAGCCTGTGATTTTCGGCTACTAAGCAAGTGCTTGTGTTTTTTAATAGCCACACAAGGCAGCTATTAATAGATGGAGTTTACCAAAATATAGAACTGCCTAACACAGAAAAGGGAAACCTGAGGGATTAATGCCAGGAAAAATTCCATGCTGAATTCCTACCAAAAGATGTAGTAAAAATTAACTGCACAGAGGAAAGGGTGGAACCCGTTACTTGGACACTGATATGATTATTATTATTTTAGCTGTTCTTTTACCCTCCCCACCCCACTGCATGTTAATGGTTTTGTTCAGCCCTAATCGGTGAGTCAGCTCCTTTTTAGAATAAAAATAAGGAAATGGTTGACAAAGAACCTGCTACAAAAATAGACTTTGGACAATTCAAGAGGTTTGTGAGGCTGAAGAAGGATTGTCCTAGAGAAATTGCAGGCTCTCCTTCTGCAAGGAGTGTTCAGATTTAGGATTTTGTCCACAGTGAGGTGGCAGGGAGGAGCTCCCAATCTTTTAGCCAAGTAGAGCCAACTACCATGCAAGATGGTCTGTTCCACTGCTTTGCCATTAGGAAGATCCTCTGAACATTTAGCTAAAGTCTGCTTCTGTGCAGCTCACGCACATTGGTACTAACTACTCTTGCCCTCTGAAGCGACAGAACAGTCTTATCCGTTTTCTCCACGAAAACCCTTCAGATATACAGTGGACGCTCGGGTGGAGAACGTGATCCATGCGGGATGCACATTCACACCCGCAGCGTTTGCAGCCCGTGTCTGTGCGTCTGCGCATGCGCGGGTTGCGATTTGGCGCTTTTGCACATGTGCGACTGCCGAAACCTGGAAGTAACCCGTTCCGGTACTTCTGGGTTTCGGTGGTCCATAACCCGAAAAAACACAACCTGAAGCGGCTGTAACCTGGTATGACTGTATAGATAATCTCTCTATTGGACTACTGTATTGCACTCTATGTAGGGCTTCCCTTGGAAGTTGCAGCTGAAGTGAAATGCTGTGGTCAGGTTATTGAGTGGAACACTTGGATGTGCACAAATTATACCTCTGCTGCACTGATCGCCAAACAGCCACTAGATCATGCTCAAAGGTGCACTGTCAACCAGTGGCGTAGCGTGGGGGGTGCAGGGGGGGCCGGCCGCACCGGGCGCAACATCTGGGGTTAGGGCAAATCCACGGGTTAGGGGGTGCAAATCCCCGGGTTAGGGGGCGCAAATCCCCGGGTTAGGGGGCGCAAATTACTTGCCTTGCCCCGGGTGCTGACAACCCACGCTACGCCGCTGCTGTTGTCAACAGATAATCCAGGCAATCTGAAAGACCTCTTTCCCCTACACAGACCTATTAAGTCACTTAGATCACCTGGGGAGATTCTTCTCATGGCATTACACCCTACAGAATATTATAGGGCAGTGACTATAGAATGGGTATCTTTTGCTATTGTCCCTGTACTGTGGAATGCTCTTCCCTCTGTCATTTACAACCATTTAAAAGCAGGTACCTTGTAAAGATTAATATTTTTGCCCAGGCTTTCACTGGCCCATAAGATTGGACCCTGAGTTCATACCCTCCAACATTTCTCTAATGAAAATAGGGACATCCTATTCAATGATGATGATGATGATTTTATTATTTATACCCTGTCAATCTGACTGGGTTTAAGCAGCCACTCTGGGTGGCTTCCAACATATATAAAAACATAATAAAATATTAAACATTTGAAAAACTTCCCTGCACATGGCTGTTTTCAGATGTTACTTATCTTCTTGACTCAGGGGTTGCATAATTCCATACCCTCCAACAATTCTCCAATGAAAATAGGGACATCCTAAGGAAAAGCAGGACATTCTAGGATCAAATCAGAAACTGGGATGGCTTCTGTAAATCTGTGACTGTCCCTGAAAAATAGGGACCTTTGGAAGGTCTGTGAATTGTGTGTATGAATCTCCTGAGTCTCTCTCTTATTTGCTTTTATTTTTGTATGCTCTTTTAATGACTTTAGGCTATATTTTTGTTTTAATGGATATTGTTTTTATATTGCACATAGTGTGCACCACTTAGAGGTTTATAACACCACAACAACACACAAAGTGGTTTAGAACTGCTTTTAAACAAACAAACAAACAAACAAACAAACAAACAAACAAAGGCAGCCATGAAAGCTGAGATAAAAATGCCTGTGCTCCAATCCTGGAATTAATTTGATAAATGGTCCTAGTACCGAACAAGAATTTTAGAGGAGTGGAATTCACTGGAGAGGAAACACA